AAAAAAAGAAAATGTTTTGCATTTGTCTCAAGAGACTCAAATAGGAAGGTCAGTTTCCAAGGCACTCATGTCAAATTGGATGGCAGCAGAAAAACTGTCCAATAAATTATGATTCTATTTTCCTCTTTATAGTGCCAGTATTGTGGATGCCACGCTCAGCAATACTGACACTCAATCTCAGTGGTCCTGTACAGTTTTAACCCACCTCTGGGCCAAAGAGAAGATAATGCTGCAATTTCTTGTTTAGAAGCCATTTCATTTAAATGCAAACAAAAGCTTTAAAGTGCGGGTCAACAGAATTCAAATGTCTAATTTCAACAGTCCAATGTAGAGTACCTTCCAACCTAATGCAGTGGGCCAAACAAAATTTAAAAAATAATTAATAATACGTTTCAATTGGGAAGTAGTGCTGGGTATTTTCCTCTGCTTTTCCCCCCAAATGAGAGCTGTTCCTAAGACTTCTCCCGTCTCCCTAAGAAATCATCAGAGTGTGCATTAAAGAGAGCGAGTTCCCTGCCTCTAGTAACCATTCGGGCATCTATCTGTCTGCTTGGGAACACCAATGATCCCTGGTAGCAACTTACAACCTGGGATTGATGTGGGGGTGACACACAGAGAGGTCATTAGGCCAAAAGAAGCAGCAAGACCGCCACTGGCTTCTTACTTTCTTTGTTTCGGCAGATCAAGATCATCTACGCCCCAAACCCCCAAACGACCCTCATCCCATTTCATTTTAGCCTCATCTACAGCAAAGAGCAAAATTTGGTATCCCAAGTAGGCCAACAGTATCTGCTGGACATGGCCAACTTTAGACACTCTTGGGTCATTTCCAGGGGGGCAGCTCTTAACACTCCCTGCTTCTCAGGTGGGTGGCATGGGTATTCTTCAGGGTGCCTCTCCCTTTGAATGCCAGTTTTTCTTATAAAACCATAAGGTTGAAATCAACGCAGAAAAAGCCTGTCTGTTGCTCAGGCTCCATCAGTGCTGCATCTCCATTCCAATTCTGAAGCAAAAGTGCTAGGACTTGAAAGATTGTTATCGCTTTCCGTCATCATCCACATCCCTCCCCCTTGACAACCAGCCGCCGCTGCCGCTGCGGCCGCCTCCTTTTTTTTCAATCTCAGGACAAAAGAAAAGTGAAGGATTTTTTTTTTTTTTTTCTAAGTAAACAACTTTAAAAGTCATTTAAGTGTTGGCTTCTTCACAAGAAATTACACATGCTTAGCTTAAATTTCAAAAAAAAAATAAAAATAAAAAAAACAAGCAGCGCCCCTCCCAACACCCTCCCCCACAAATGATAATTTAAAAGATAAGCTTCCCTTCTACATTGTCCATCAGCTCAGACTACTTCTGAGTTTAAAATTCTTTTAAAAACAAATGAGGAAGGGATGGATATCCAACAGAATTGTCTAAAGGAAATCTCAACAGAAAGAAGTCTAACAGTACCTGCACCTGCCAAAAATAAGAAAACAAACGAAAAAGTTACAAAACCCAATAAATACAGAAATTATTGCACAATTAAAAGGCTCCACAATGTTTACTGCGTTATTCCACCCTCGGGGTTCCATGGGTCTTCGCAGACTCAGGCTGGGGTTGGAGTGCCACCTCCCCTGGGCCCCCCGGAACACACGGGGGTGCTAAGTAGCGGTGACACACAGGCGAGTTGGGTCAGCATTCTCTCGGTTGGCAACAGTTCCACTGTACAGGGGCAGAAGGGGATCGGGGAGGGGGCCGGAGTGGGCACCCAGGCCCCGATGGCGGCGTGGGCGGCGCCTTAGCTGCGCTCGGCCTGCTCGATTTTGACATCGTTAGTCAGCAAATGCTCACCATGCCATTTTTTCATATGTTTCTCCAGGGTGCTGTAGACGCTGAAGGGCATCTGGCAGATGTCGCAGCGGTACACCTCCTTGCCGATCTGCCCGTGCGTCTTCATGTGGCGCGTGAGCTTGCTGCTCTGCGCACATGCGTAGTTGCACAGCTCGCATTTGTAAGGCCGCTCCCCTGTGTGGCTCCGCCGGTGCACCGTCAGGTTGCTGCAGTTCTTGAACACCTTGCCGCAGTACTCACACGTGTCGCTGCGCCGGCCCTCCTTGGAGCTGGGCCGCCCGGGCCCCGGGCCCCCCAGGTGCGGCGTGCTACCCCCGCTGGCCGTGCCGCTGCGCCCCGACAGCCCACCGTCCAGCAGATCTCCGGGCGGCGTGGAGAAGCGCAGGCTGCCGTTCTCGGACGAGTGCTCAGACGACGTGGCGAAGGGTGACTGGCGCGCGTCTGTGAAGCCCAGGAAGGGGTCCTTCATGAAGTGGCGCGATGCCGCGTAGCCCACGAGCCACTGGGAGTAGACGTTCTCCGAGGGGATGAGCGCAGCGGGCGGCAGCTCCAGGTCCTTCTCCACCTTGATGCGCTTGGCGGAGCTCGGTAGCCCCGGGCTGGCCAATGGCGCGGGCTTGCGCGGGAAGAGCCCCGGGAAGGGCTCGGCGCCTGGGAAGCCCCCGCGCCCGTTGACAGCGCCAACCGCGCCCGCGTCCCCGCAGCCACCCGCGTCGTCCAGGTCTCCGGGCTCGCCGGCCACGCCGCCTGCACGCTTCAGGAAGGCGCCACGCTTCTGCTTGTCCGCTAGCAGCTCTCCGTATTGCGGCGGCAGCGCGCCCAGGCCCACGTTCTCCATGACCTTTCCCAGCACCAGCGCCTTCTCATCGGCCAGCTTGGCGGCGCCTGCGCCCACGGCTACGGCCACGGCCACAGCGCCGCCGTTCTCCCGGCTGCGGCTCAGCTCCGAGTCCATGCTGAAGCTCGACTCGGGTCGGCTCTCGTTCTCCAGCAGGAGCTCCTCCTCCTCTTCCTCCTCTTCTTCCTCCTCCTCCTCGGCCTCGTGGCCCAGCGATGGGTCGCTCTCGTGGCGGAAGTCGCCATCGGCCGCCTTGAGGCCCTCGGCCGCCAGCTCGCTGGGGCCCGGCTCCGGGGAGCTGGCAGCCGAGAGCCCGTCGTCGGAGCGGCCGGCCAGCGAGCCGGCTTTGTGCAGGTGCGTCTTCATGTGGCGCTTGAGCTTGCTGGCCTGCGAGCAGGCGTGGTCGCACAACTGGCACTTGTAGGGTTTCTCTCCCGTGTGACTGCGCCTGTGCACGATGAGGTTGCTCTGGAACTTGAAGGTTTTGCCGCAGAACTCGCACGACTTGCTCTTGGATGGGGGCTGCGGGGGCGGCGTGCCGCCAGAGGGCATGGGGGGCAGCGGCGGCGTGCTCAGAAATGGGGACTTGGGGCTGGGCTGAAAGGGGTTTAGGAGCCGGTGCATAGGGTTGCCCCGCCCTGGGGACACGGGCGGCGGCGTGGCGCTGTTGCCCGCCAGCTCGCGCAGCCGCCTCGAGAAGTCCATGGCGGGAGAGTCGATGGCCATGGGGTTGAGGCGCATGACTCGGTCAAAGGCACTGGGGTGCTGGGCGACGAGCCCCATCTCCTCGGCACTGAGGCGGTGCGGGTCCAGGTGGTGGCGTGGCGGCGGGCTGAAGAGGGGTGGCGTGCCGGGCAGGCGGCCCTCGCCAAAGCCCGGGTGCTCGCGCAGAAGGGGGCCTGTCATGCGCAGCAGGTTGAAGGGGTTGCTGTCGCCCAGGAAATTCATGAGTGGCGACTGGGCCACAGCCTCCGGCCCGAGCGGCGGCGGGATGGTGAGGCGCGGTGTGAGTGAGCTGCTGGCCGGGCCCGGCTCCAGGTAGATACGGAAGCCATGCGTGTTCTGCGCGTGTTGCAGCAGGAACCAGGCGCTGGTGAAGGGCTGCTTGCATGTTGTGCAAATGTAGCTGGAAGGCTCGTCTTTACCTGCGGAGACACACGGACAGAGAGGCGAACAGAAGTGAGAGCAGGCCTGAGGCGCGTGTGCAGGTTGCCTGCTCCTAAAAGCCCAAACCCTTTGCCCTGGATTCAGAGACGCTGGAGAACCGAATGCAACTGTTCACTCGCTCCAGGGCGTTTCCACAGCAGCAGAGGGCCCTGGCTTACTCCCAAAGAGTAGTTGGTGGGTTCCAACCTCAGACCCTGTCATTAACAGCCAAGAGCTTTAACTACTGTGCAGCGGCCCAGGTGCTCCGAAAGGGGCGGAGGCCTAGATCACCAAGTGGCCCTTCCCTCTCCAACCCTTGCACAGAATTCACTCTGGGTTCAAAGCCCAGACCAGCCACAGAACCTCAGCAAACCATTACCAGTTCTGTAGGCCTGGTTTCCTCCCTGAGACACATGTGGTCTTATCGCCACTATCTTAGTGGCTAGGCCAGATCTGGTGAGAATGGCTCAGTCCATAAACCCCAGACCCCATTACTGTCGAGTCCATTCTAACTCAGGGACCCTATACAGGACACAGCCAAAGGACCCCATAGGGTTTCCTAGGCCGTAGCGTAGTGGTTACGAATCAGAATGTGAACCTCAAGGTCAGCAGTTCGAAACTACCAGCTGTTCCACGGGAGAAAGATGAGGCTTTCTGCTCCCATAAATATTTACAGCCTTAGGAAGCTTATACAGGGTCGCTATGAGTCGGAACCGACTCCACAGCACATCACAACAATCTTCACAACAGAAGACTTCCCATCTTTCCCCACAGAACAGCTGGTGGGGTCCAACTGCTGACCGTTTGGTTACCAAGCAAGCACTTAAGCACTGCGCCCCCCCAGGGCTTCTCCCCTCCCTCCCCCCCACCACCACCAAGCAGATAAAATGTGGGTAAATTTCAGCCATACAAGGCTCTCTACCTGACAAGTTATTCATCACATGGCTTCTCAAACTGGGTACTATTGACTTGGTTGGTGTAAAGTGCCCTCAAGTCAGTTCAAACTCATAGTAACCCTGTGTAGGGTTTCCACAGAGCAGCTGGTGTGGTTGAACCACCGGAGTTGTGGTTAGCAGTCCAGTGCTTATCCTACAGCGTCACACCAGGACTATTAACTTTGTTGTTGTTGTTGTTATGTGCCATGGAGTCGGTTCCAACTCATAGCGACCCTGTAGAGGGTTTCACAGGCTGTAAATCTTTACGGGAGCAGAAAGCCTCATCTTTCTCCCATGGAACAGCTGGTAGTTTCAAACTGCTGACCATGAGATTATCAGCCGGATTCGTAACCACTATGCTACCATTAACTTTGGAGCCCTGGGATTCTTCGTTGGGAGCTAGAGTGGGTAGGCTGCCTCAAACATTATGAGATGGCTTCTACCCACTAGATGCCATTAGCAAACCCTTAGAGCCTCATGATCAAATATGTCTCCAAACCCAAACTACCCATTACTGGCAGCCCCACACATGGAATAGAGCTGCTCCATGGGGTCTTCAGTGACTGTGGTTCTATGAGAAAAGATCGCCAGGACTTTCTTCTGTGTGGATGAGTTCTAACCGCCAGTGACCCTGTGGAGGGTTTGCGAGGAGTGGCTGCTGAGTTGAACCACCAACCTTGTGGTTCAAACCGACCTTGGGGTCGAGTGTTTAGCCTTCAGCATCACATCAGGGGCACAAGACTGTTTTTCCTACCCAGGGACCCAGACCAGAAACTCAATTCCAACTCATAGCAATCCTACAAGACACAGCAGAATGTCCCTGCCGGGCCAAGTCACCTTTGGTTGAGAATCACTGATTTTGATACTTGATTCAAGGCAGAAACACATCAAACTGAACTGCCTGAGAGAAATGGAATTTGAGCTCCAGGGAAGTCTAGTATTTTAAAGATCAGAATTTGTTCAGGAAACCCTACAGAATTAAAACATGCTGACTAAGCCAAGAGCAGGTTTTGGAAGACCTACTGTGAGAACAGCAGCCTCCTGGTGCTCTCAAACACATCCCTAACCACAATGCAGAATTTCACTTAGACTCCTGGGGAGTGTGTGCGTGGGGTGGGGGTGGAGGGGTACTCGAAAGACAGTCATCTAAACGTGTATTGCCAAGTCCTTTGCCCAATTACTTGATGTCAAAACATCCCCAAATCTGACAGGACAGTCAGAGTGGACCACTGCAGGTGCTGTTTTGTTGGAAGATGGCTCTGGTGATATCCCCCGCAAATTGTGCCGAATACTGTGCTCAGCACTGCTGGGCCAAAACATCACCATAACCTTTGTCCATCGTTGGGGCAGCTACAAAATGGAAGCTGAATGTCAGTGCAGAACCTGCCTGCTGGCTGCCCTCCTCAACCTGGGGGTGAAGCTGGCTGCTTCTCCAGTCTGATACACTCATACAGGTTTTCATACAAAAGACAGGTGTGGACAGGTCCTGATTTCTGTCATCACCTGCACTAGTGCGGGAAGGAAAAGTGAAAAGTAAACCTGCCTCCGTTGAAGACAGCCAGGATCCTATAAAACCTGCTGCTTGCCCAAGCTCCATGGATCCTGGAAGATTTCTACACTGATCAAGTACAGTTGCCACAAACTTTGTGGGGAAGTTAGCCATGCCAAGAAATCACAAGCCCCACATCAGTGTGGGGACATGAGGGCACAGAGTGGTGGGGAGTGGGAAAAGTGGTCCACCGGCGCAGCCTCTCCACCGACGGAAAAGCATCTCACATTTGGGGCATAAAGTATTTCTGTTTGAATTATGGAGAACTACGCGTAGTGGTTACAAATTGGGCTGCGAGCCGCAAGGTCAACAGTTCGAAACTACCAGCGGTTCCGGGGAAGAAAGATGAGGCGGTCTGCTCCCGTAAAGATTTACAGTCTCAGAAACCCTGTGTAGGGTCGCTATGAGTCGGAACCTACTCCACGACACATAACAACAACAACAACACTCATGTTTGGTAAGGTGGAGGATCAGAGAAAAACAGGAAGACCCCCAATGAGATGGATTGGCCAAGTGGCAGCATCGATGGATTCAAGCGTGGCAACAATGATGACGTTGTCCCAGGATTGGGCGGTGTTTTGTTCTGTGCATAAGGTCGCTATGGGTCAGTACCAATTCGATGGCACCTAATGAAACCAACACACTTTCAGCACTGTTTGGAACACAGAAACCAACATTCGGATCCATCTTTAAAACCCAATCAACTCAAATCCTTCTAGGAACTTGAGTCTTGAGTGTGGGCCCCACTCCCCAGTTAGAAAAGGCTTACACCTTGTGAAAGTTGTAAGAATAACAATGTCACAGAATGGGTCATGGTGTCCTATCAAAGGGATAAGATGGAGGCTTCTCTAGGCCACAGAACCCAGTAGGCCCCAGCAGCCAACATGGAGAACCATGACATGCTTTATGAGTGTAGTTTTACAGGAGTAGCTTGCAGCCATCTCCTACTTTGTGTATGTGCATCTGGCGGCAAGGAGACAGAAACAAACAGCGAATTTTGAAGTTGAGCCTCCAACCTCACGTTTAAACGTCTCAAGGAGAACATCTGAGGCTATTTGCTTTCTCCAGGGAGTTAGGTAATTCCCTTCTCCCACTATGTCTGGGTAATTCAGTTCCCCATGCCTGAACCCCTGAGGAGAAGCCTCCTCACTTGGAGAATAGCAGGGAGGCCTTCCCCAAACCCTGGGTGGCCATGATCCTCACAGGATGTGGGAAGTAGGGCCTCACCAGGACCCCATCCTTCCCTTCCCACACGACACTCAGATAACAAAAAAGCACCCAAGTCTCCCTGGAGGCCAACTGAGGGTGTACCATCTCCTGTCCAAGGCTTATTAGTTCATGTATTGGAGGAAACTGAACATTTTACCTCAGACAGCCTGACATCAGAGCTGGCCAGAAGCTATATATAGATAGTTAAGATTCCTCCTCAAATCCTGTTTTGGAGCAAGACAGAATAAATAAGATAAATAAAATGTCTCTTTCTGACACAGAAGCTAATAAACACAAATGAAGTGCCAACGTCCTACAAGGTCATAGATCTTGAAATTAAAGAGCGTGTCTGCCCCCTTCACCTTACTTCAGCCACTCCGAGTAATCGATTTATGGTACACAGCTGCTTAATCTAAAGCTTGATGATGGTTTCTTTTGGAGGGGGTTGGGTCCCCTCCTTTTCCCCCAATCTCTTTCTCCTCAGCTTCATTTCCTTGGGTATCTCCAAAGCACTTCCTGTTTCTTGGTCTGACTGACACACATTTTCTAGAAAGTTCGGTTGCTGGTGAGGAATGTGGCTAGGAGAAGAGTGCAGGCTGGGTATGGAGACTGCTGTACAACAGAAACATCTGATTAATATTAACAACAACAACAACAAAAGAATCCCAAAATGGCAGCTGCCGAGAAGCGTGTAGCTACATGTTCTAAAGAGCTCAACTGTTTCCACTTCTTGTGTCACAAAAGAGGCACTTCTTAAACTAACTTGGAACAGCAGTGTGGAGAGGAAGTCACCTGCCCATATCTCACTGTTTGTTCAGCAAGTGGGCCTCAGGACCACGGGTCAGCTCTTTCTATCCTGTGTCCCTGAACCACTTTGGTTCCACAAGATGGCAAGATTCACTGCACAGGCAAATGCCTTCCTAGGATCTGACAGCTTCTGAGTTTTCTTTTTAAAAAACTCTCCCAGCCCTCAACGACCTTCCCTAGACAACTCTCCCTCCTCCTCCTCCTCCCCTTTCTTTCTTTTTAATAAAATGTTCATTTCCAGATTATCACTTCATGGTTATCTCTTGCCCAGAAGTTGCCCTGAGCACTAGAACGTCTCACTTGTAAGAACTGAACAATGTCAGAAAGTCTTTGAAAAGCCACTCGGAACGGTTTTGTTCTATTCCCAAACTCATGAAATATTTTAACCATGCGATGGCTCCTTTTGAAATGCAGCGTTAGACCGTCAGCCGCTTCTGATTTAGGGCTGGCCACACTACTGCTTGGGGACCAGGTGTCTCCACCTTGAGGCCCCCTCCTC